GGTCGAACATTTGAGCTACAACAAGATTTTGGAAACAATGGAAACATAGAGGAAACATAATTAACATCAGGAAGAGGAAGTTGAAATTTCTGGGGCACGTAATGAGGAAGGAAGGATTGGAAATCTGATACTCACAGGACAGATGGAAAGAGGGACAGAGGAAAGCAACGTGTGACATACTTGATGGGATTGAGCAAATGGATGGAAGAAGAGGGTTTTGGAGATATAATAAAAAGACAAAACCTATTAAGAGCTACAAAGGACATAATATTTTGAGGGTAATGATCGCCTACGTCCTGAAGGGATACGGCACCTACAAGATGTCCAGATCTAACATCTTGTGCGGTTTCTGCAAACAATTATGCATTCTTACCTTCTTAAAATCGATAGTTTGTCCTTTGTTTTCGGGGGTTTTTTTATTGTCTTGTAGAGGGGTTCTTACAATTTAATTTCTGTGTCTGCCATGTCATCTGTTTGACTCCTTTTTTGTCCTTTGTTTTCGGGGTTTTTTTTTTGTCTTGTAGAGGGGTTCTTACAATTTAATTTCTGTGTCTGCCATGTCATCTGTTTGACTCCTTTTTTGTCCTTTGTTTTCGGGGTTTTTTTTATTGTCTTGTAGAGGGGTTCTTACAATTTAATTTCTGTGTCTGCCATGTCATCTGTTTGACTCCTTTTTTGTCCTTTGTTTTCGGGGTTTTTTTTATTGTCTTGTAGAGGGGTTCTTACAATTTAATTTCTGTGTCTGCCATGTCATCTGTTTGACTCCTTTTTTGTCCTTTGTTTTCGGGGTTTTTTTTATTGTCTTGTAGAGGGGTTCTTACAATTTAATTTCTGTGTCTGCCATGTCATCTGTTTGACTCCTTTTTGTCCTTTGTTTTCGGGTTTTTTTTTATTGTCTTGTAGAGGGGTTCTTACAATTTAATTTCTGTGTCTGCCATGTCATCTGTTTGACTCCTTTTTTTGTCCTTTTGTTTTCGGGGTTTTTTTATTGTCTTGTAGAGGGTTCTTACAATTTAATTTCTGTGTCTGCCATGTCATCTGTTTGACTCCTTTTTTTGTCCTTTGTTTTCGGGGTTTTTTTTATTGTCTTGTAGAGGGTTCTTACAATTTAATTTCTGTGTCTGCCATGTCATCTGTTTGACTCCTTTTTTGTCCTTTGTTTTCGGGGTTTTTTTTTATTGTCTTGTAGAGGGTTTTACAATTTAATTTCTGTGTCTGCCATGTCATCTGTTTGACTCCTTTTTTGTCCTTTTTTTCGGGGTTTTTTTTTATTGTCTTGTAGAGGGTTCTTACAATTTAATTTCTGTGTCTGCCATGTCATCTGTTTGACTCCTTTTTTGTCCTTTTGTTTTCGGGGTTTTTTTTTTTATTGTCTTGTAGAGGGGGTTCTTACAATTTACTTTCTGTGTCTGCCATGTCATCTGTTTGACTCCTTTTTTGTCCTTTGTTTTCGGGGTTTTTTTTATTGTCTTGTAGAGGGGTTCTTACAATTTACTTTCTGTGTCTGCCATGTCATCTGTTTGACTCCTTTTTTGTCCTTTGTTTTCGGGGTTTTTTTTATTGTCTTGTAGAGGGGTTCTTACAATTTACTTTCTGTGTCTGCCATGTCATCTGTTTGACTCCTTTTTTGTCCTTTGTTTTCGGGGTTTTTTTTTTATTGTCTTGTAGAGGGTTCTTACAATTTACTTTCTGTGTCTGCCATGTCATCTGTTTGACTCTTTTTGTCCTTTTGTTTTCGGGGTTTTTTATTGTCTTGTAGAGGGGTTCTTACAATTTACTTTCTGTGTCTGCCATGTCATCTGTTTGACTCCTTTTTTGTCCTTTGTTTTCGGGGTTTTTTTTATTGTCTTGTAGAGGGGTTCTTACAATTTACTTTCTGTGTCTGCCATGTCATCTGTTTGACTCCTTTTTTTTTTGTCCTTTGTTTTCGGGGTTTTTTTATTGTCTTGTAGAGGGGTTCTTACAATTTACTTTCTGTGTCTGCCATGTCATCTGTTTGACTCCTTTTTTTGTCCGGGGTTTTTTTGTTTTCGGGGGTTTTTTATTGTCTTGTAGAGGGTTCTTACAATTTACTTTCTGTGTCTGCCATGTCATCTGTTTGACCTCCTTTTTTTCCTTTTTTGTTTTCGGGGTTCTACAATTTTTTTTTTATTGTCTTGTAGAGGGGTTCTTACAATTTACTTTTTCTGTGTCTGCCATGTCATCTGTTTGACTCCTTTTTTGTCCTTTGTTTTCGGGGTTTTTTTTATTGTCTTGTAGAGGGGTTCTTACAATTTACTTTCTGTGTCTGCCATGTCATCTGTTTGACTCCTTTTTTGTCCTTTGTTTTCGGGGTTTTTTTTTTTGTCTTGTAGAGGGGTTCTTACAATTTACTTTTCTGTGTCTGCCATGTCATCTGTTTGACTCTTTTTTTGTCCTTTGTTTTCGGGGTTTTTTTTTTATTGTCTTGTAGAGGGGTTCTTACAATTTACTTTCTGTGTCTGCCATGTCATCTGTTTGACTCCTTTTTTGTCCTTTGTTTTCGGGGTTTTTTTTATTGTCTTGTAGAGGGGTTCTTACAATTTAATTTCTGTGTCTGCCATGTCATCTGTTTGACTCCTTTTTTGTCCTTTGTTTTCGGGGTTTTTTTTATTGTCTTGTAGAGGGGTTCTTACAATTTAATTTCTGTGTCTGCCATGTCATCTGTTTGACTCTTTTTTTTTTGTCCTTTGTTTTCGGGGTTTTTTTATTGTCTTGTAGAGGGGTTCTTACAATTTAATTTCTGTGTCTGCCATGTCATCTGTTTGACTCCTTTTTTTTGTCCTTTGTTTTCGGGGTTCTTTTTTTTTTTTTATTGTCTTGTAGAGGGGTTCTTACAATTTACTTTTCTGTGTCTGCCATGTCATCTGTTTGACTCCTTTTTTTGTCCTTTGTTTTCGGGGTTTTTTTATTGTCTTGTAGAGGGTTCTTACAATTTACTTTCTGTGTCTGCCATGTCATCTGTTTGACTCCTTTTTTGTCCTTTGTTTTCGGGGGTTTTTTTATTGTCTTGTAGAGGGTTCTTACAATTTACTTTCTGTGTCTGCCATGTCATCTGTTTGACTCCTTTTTTTTTTGTCCTTTGTTTTCGGGGTTTTTTTTTATTGTCTTGTAGAGGGTTCTTACAATTTACTTTCTGTGTCTGCCATGTCATCTGTTTGACCGGGGTTTTTTTATTTTTTGTCCTTTGTTTTCGGGGTTTTTTTTTTTATTGTCTTGTAGAGGGGTTCTTACAATTTAATTTCTGTGTCTGCCATGTCATCTGTTTGACTCCTTTTTTGTCCTTTTGTTTTCGGGTTTTTTTTTATTGTCTTGTAGAGGGGGGGTTCTTACAATTTAATTTCTGTGTCTGCCATGTCATCTGTTTGACTCCTTTTTTTGTCCTTTTTGTTTTCGGGGTTTTTTTATTGTCTTGTAGAGGGGTTCTTACAATTTACTTTCTGTGTCTGCCATGTCATCTGTTTGACTTTTTTTTTTTGTCCTTTGTTTTCGGGGGTTTTTTTTATTGTCTTGTAGAGGGTTCTTACAATTTAATTTCTGTGTCTGCCATGTCATCTGTTTGACTCCTTTTTTGTCCTTTGTTTTCGGGGTTTTTTTTATTGTCTTGTAGAGGGTTCTTACAATTTATTTTCTGTGTCTGCCATGTCATCTGTTTGACTCCTTTTTTTTGTCCTTTTTGTTTTCGGGGTTTTTTTATTGTCTTGTAGAGGGTTCTTACAATTTAATTTCTGTGTCTGCCATGTCATCTGTTTGACTCCTTTTTTTTTTTGTCCTTTGTTTTCGGGGTTTTTTTTTATTGTCTTGTAGAGGGGTTCTTACAATTTACTTTCTGTGTCTGCCATGTCATCTGTTTGACTCCTTTTTTTGTCCTTTGTTTTCGGGGTTTTTTTTATTGTCTTGTAGAGGGGTTCTTACAATTTAATTTCTGTGTCTGCCATGTCATCTGTTTGACTCCGGGGTTTTTTTTTGTCCTTTTGTTTTCGGGGTTTTTTTTTATTGTCTTGTAGAGGGGTTCTTACAATTTAATTTCTGTGTCTGCCATGTCATCTGTTTGACTCCTTTTTTGTCCTTTGTTTTCGGGGTTTTTTTTTTATTGTCTTGTAGAGGGGTTCTTATAATTTACTTTCTGTGTCTGCCATGTCATCTGTTTGACTCCTTTTTTGTCCTTTGTTTTCGGGGTTTTTTTTATTGTCTTGTAGAGGGTTCTTACAATTTAATTTCTGTGTCTGCCATGTCATCTGTTTGACTCCTTTTTTTGTCCTTTTTTTTGTTTTCGGGGTTTTTTTTTTATTGTCTTGTAGAGGGGTTCTTACAATTTAATTTCTGTGTCTGCCATGTCATCTGTTTGACTCTTTTTTTGTCCTTTTGTTTTCGGGGTTTTTTTATTGTCTTGTAGAGGGTTCTTACAATTTAATTTCTGTGTCTGCCATGTCATCTGTTTGACTCCTTTTTTGTCCTTTGTTTTCTGGGTTTTTTTTATTGTCTTGTAGAGGGTTCTTTTTTATTGTGTCTGCTATGTCATCTGTTTGACTCCATTTTGTCCTTTTGTTTTCGGGGTTTTTTTTATTGTCTTGTAGAGGGTTCTTTTAATTTACTTTGTGTCTGCCATGTCATCTGTTTGACTCCTTTTTTGGCTTTGTTGCGATTTCGAATAAAAGTGATCGTGAGATCTTTATATTTCTTTTTATAGTGCAATGCATTCTTTTCAGATTATATACATTAAAATCAAATCCCCCACTTAAAAAAAAAGATTTTCTTCCATCTTCGGATGCAGAATAATATAATTCACGATTTAAAAAAAAATGGTGGAATCAGTCATGATTAATTTCGACCGTTAAATCTTGGAAAAGATATATTTTAAAAATTGTGGCACATTTTGTGTCATTTTTCTTATTTCTGGGAGGAATGTGACAGTGTGTGTGTGTGTGTGTGTGTGTGTGGAGAGAGAGAGAGAGAGAGAGAGTGCGTTTTACATGTGAGTTATGAAAGGTTTTGGCGCTCAAGGTTGGAATCATTCTTTGTCTTCCGCCTGGACAACTCGCAAAGTCCCGATAAATCACAACTGCCGCTGCCGGTCACCTGCGTCACAGTCAGCGATCGCTTGGAAAAACCACGCAGCCGCACAGACCGACTGACTGAGCTTCCGTTTACGCCTGCGCAGATTGATTAAAATCGAATCTGGCCTTCTCCCAGCTTCCCACCTTTTACGCTGAGAAATAGATCCAAATCTATATTTCCTCTCTTTTCCTAACGTCATTTCCCGTCTGTACCTGAGAAGGTCCGACATTTTTCTTGCTATTCATTCTCTTTATATTTCCTTGTTTCTAATGTCACGCTCTTTTCTTTTCTTCTATTTCTCTTTCTTTTTCTCTCTCTCTTCCCTCTTTGTCTCTGATACTTGTTCGTTTTCTTTTTTTTTCTTTCTCGTTTATCTATAAATCGCAAGTTGATCTTTTTGACACTTTCTTTTTTGTAATCTCATTCTCTCTTTTAATTCCAGAATTCTCTTTTTCTTCTTTCGTCTCTCGATCTATTTGTCTCTTTCGCTTTCCATCATGCCTACAGCTTTGTTTTGCATCTTATCCTCCCATCTTTCTCTCGTTGTATGTTAGGCTACACACTCCCAATCTCTTCTTTTTATCTTATCATTCTCCGTGTTTTTGATTTTTTTGTTACACTTTTAAAATTTATCTCTTTCTTTATCTTTTTTAATTTATTTCTTTTCCCTCTCCTTCTTTCTTTCTTTTTCTTTCTTTCTTTCTTTCTTTCTTTTTTCTCCCTCCTTTTCTTTCATTCCTTCTTTCTTTTCTTTTTCTTTCATTCTTTCTTCCTTTTTCATTCTTTCGTTCTTTCTCTCTTTTTCTCATTTCTTTCTTTATTTTCTTCTTCCCTACTTTTTCATTCTTTTTCTTTGTTTCCTTTAGCTTTCTTTCTTTTCGCTGTCATTATTTCTTTCTTCCTTTCTCTTTCTTTCTTTCTTTCTTTCTTTCCGTTTTGTTTCAATTTTATCCGTCTCTTTTTTTCTTATTCTGTTACTCTCTCTCTCTCTCTCTCTCTCTCTCTCTCTCTCTCTTATTTGTTTTCTTTTTGTTATTTAACATCTTTATTTCCCTTCTAAATATTCCTAAATATCTCCCGCCTTAACTTCTAGGTCCGAACTGATTTTTCTCCTAATTCACCCCCACCACCATTCTCTCTGTTGTTTTTTTTTCCCTTTCAATCAATCAGTTTTCCTTTTTGTTCTCTCTCTCTATTCTACACTCTCTTCTTACGTTCAACTTCCTTTCTCTATTTGATGTTCGCTTCTCTTTTTTTCCATTTTCTCCTCTCTCTCTCTCTCTCTCTCTCTCTATCTATGTATCTATCTATCTTCCCCATATAGTCTAACATTATACGTTCTACTCTATCTTTACATATTCTACTCTCTCTTCTCTCGTTCTCTGCACTTCATTTCATTTTCTCCTCTTTTCAATTTTTTCTCTTTGCACGATCATGCCCCACTCTATACTTTATGTTCTTACCTCTCTTACTCTCTCTCTCTCACTTTCTTCCATTTTCCTCTCTCTTGACAGTCTGTTATATTTCCCGTTCCTCTCTCTGCTTTTACGTTCTCCTCTCCCTTATCACGTTTTGCATGTTTTCCACTCTCGTTCGTATTCACTTCTCTCTTTTTTTTGTCGCCTTCCTTTCACTTTCCCCATACTTTTTCCTGTTATCTTAATCCCAATCGCTTAAATCTTTTCATTCGCATTTTTCCAGGATATCTTTTCAATCCTTTTTTTTCTTTTTTCTATCTATCTATCTATCTATCTATCTATCTATCTATCTATCTATCTATCCCCCCTCTCTATATTAACTGTACTATATATATATATATATATATATATATATATATATATATATATATAGTACTAGTAATAGATCCATTGGTATACAATCTAGGTGGATCCTAGTAATATCAGATATTAAAACTGATCCACATTTATTTTAACAGAGCATATATTATATACAACAAAAAATCCAAAATTGCCTCATGTGGCTATAGTCTATTTCAGACCAACACAACCATATGAGAATCTTCCTCAGTCCCATGACTATCTATCTATCTATCTATCTATCTATCTATCTATCTATCTATCTCGCTCCATGATCTATCTATCTATCTATCTATCTATCTATCTATCTCGTTCCATGATCTATCTATCTATCTATCTATCTATCTATCTATCTATCTATCTATCTATCTATCTCGCTTCATGATCTATCTATCTATCTATCAATCTATCTCGCTCCAAGATTTGTCTATTCTTCTTGGCTGCTTTCTCTCCTCCCTCTTTTTCTCTCTTCTCTTCGCTATCATTTTTCTTGCGTGTTCATACCTTTCGGGCAAATCCCATAAAACATTTGCATATCACTGCTTTCACATTATAACCTGGTTAGCCGACGACTGTCCAAACGAGTGACCACTCTTAGGTGGGTCGTGTCCACTCAAGCGAGAAAAAGGTGGTGGCACGATAGGAAAGAAAAGACGCTGACCGACTCGACAATGATTTTTTCAGGGATTCAAAAATGCTGGAATTTGGAGAAGAAAATCACCACTTACTGACTGAATAGAAGAATTTCGTTACGCTCACTGCCTCCAATTAATGGACGTTCTCACTGCTTGTGACAAATAAGATACGAACAACGATCTTTAACAGCGGGACCCTCTTACGTTATAACCCTTATTTTCCCCTGAACACCATGGAACGGGTTGAGAATTATGCAAGGCAAAGAAATAAAAGGAAAGCACTTGAATAAGATAAGAAAAGAAAAAAAAGGGGTTGTAAATTTAACAATGTTATAATTTACATAGAGAAAGTATGAGTGATAACCACCAATAGTTTATAGTGTTTTATCTATACTAGCAGAGTACCCGTCAAAAATCGTTATTTCCGCTCATGAACATTTCCGCTCGTTTTCTTCTTCTTTTATGTGCCATGAACATTCAGGACGTAAGCGATCATGGCTCTCTACTTTCCCTTGTAGTTTTCGATATGTTTTGTTCTTTTGCTACTTCTCCCAGACCCTGTTCTGTTGCTTTCCCTTGTCTCTCTTTCCGTCTATCCGCCCTGTGAGTATCAGATTCTCCAAGCCCTCTTTTCTCTTTTCCTAGTGATTGCAGCTGACTCTTCCTGATCTATTTCGAATCAAAGTATCAGTGTCACATGTCGGCATTAAACATATCCATTATATATATATATATATATATATATATATATATATATATATATATATATAATGCAGTGTTACATTAGAACATATCCACTACGAAATTGTATATTTTGTTTCAACGTCAAAAAAAGGGAAAACATTTTTTAGACGTCTCATCAGGTGGGGAAATGGTATTATTTTTTAAATGAATGTTTTGAACGGTGTAATCACACTGTTCGTTCTCCTACACTTTGATATATATATATATATATATGTGTGTGTGTGTGTGTGTGTGTGTGTGTGTGTGTGTGTCTGTGTGTGTGTGTGTGTGTATGTATGTATACATGTATACATGTGTGTATATATATATATATATATATATATATATATATATATATATATATATATATATATATATATGTGTGTATGTGTGTATATATATATATATATTAATTTCGATTATAGGTGCAATTTTAATTTATAATTACATGAATCATTCATATAAAAAAACAAATATAGAGGTTAATGATGTATTCTCGCAATTTAAATCATTAACTTCTATATTTGTTTTTTTTTGTATGAATGAATGTAATTATATATATATATATATATATATATATATATATATATATATATATATATATATATATAAACAGGAGTTCGTTTATCGTACCATTCACATCCTCCTTATAGAGATGATGGACACATGATTGTAAATAAATCTACTGGAAGTAAGGTTGATAAACTTAGAAAATTGACCCATAGGGTGTCTTTTTTTAATTTTTTGGTCTTAGTGCAGTTATTAATTCTAATATTAAGCAAGTTAATTACTTTGACGAACGTTAAATTTTGTTTTCAATAATTTTCAACTTTACATGAAAAAACAATGCCAACCCGATTTATATCCACCCTAGCTCTAATCACCCACCATCTGTAATCAAATATATTCCATCATGGGTTGAACGGCCTATTAATCAACATTGCTCTAGCAAAGAGATATTTGAAAAACATAAAACAGTTTATGATAAAGTTCTTTGAGATAGTGGGTTTAGATCTTCTGAAATTAGATTTTTAAAGATTATGGTTGTTCCAGAAAGAAAAAAACAAAAACAGAAGATAATATGTTATACTCCTCCATTCAAACAATTAGTTCATACTAAATTGGGATGTAATTTTTTTAAAATTAACTGATAAACATTTCCCTAAAACTAACTCTTTAAATAAACTTTTCAATCGAAATACTCTAAAACATAACTATAGCTGTGCTAATAATTTAGAGAAAATAATTAAATCACATAACAATAAAATATTGAATTTATATAACAATAATAACCGTAGTGCTAATACTGATCTTAATTTGTCCCGTAGAAATAACCTATGTAATTGTAGATATCCCGATCAGTGCCCATTATCTAATAAGTGCTTAACTAAATCCTTTGTGTATGTGTACTATTTCATCAGTATAAAATCCAAGGGTTACTAAAATATATATTGGGAGTACAATGAATAAATTTCAAGACGTTTCTATAATCATCGTTCGTTCTTTACTAATGCTGATAAAGGAAATATGACTTCACATTTTAAATATTTTTGAAAATTGAAAGAGGAAAACAAAACATCTAAAGTTAAATGGAAAATTCTCAGACAAGCTAGAATCTCCAGATCGGTGAACGAACTGTGCTTCCTCTGTCTATATGAGAAAATGAAAATAATTATGTTCTTGAATAGTGACATATTATTAAATCAAAGATATGAAATTAAAGTAAACTGTAAACATATTAAAAAATAACCTTACAATCTTGCTAAACATCATAACTCAATAATCACTCCTCTGCTGTTATATTATCTTTATATAAAACTTTTAATGTTATCATTACTGATTTATTCTAGCTTTAGGTATTATATTGGTTAGTATTCATAAATTACTGGTAGTATGCTTAGCCATAAATTGGCTTATTATTATTATTGTTATTATTTCTCTTGTTGTATTGTTAATAGTTTTTAATTTAAATTAATATAAAAAATATATAAGGTTAAAATTTATTTTGTATTCTAATTTATAATGTAAAGTCTGTTTTGTTAAGTATTGTATTGATTCTTAAAGTGTTCTTTATTTATGTGCTATGGATAATTTTGTTTTAAAAATGTCATAAAATTTGAAACGCGACATTGTAGCCAATGTATTACTATCTGTTGGCATTTCATTTCCGTTCAAATTTGAATTCTCTTTTTCCGCATAATTCCATTGGCTTAACTCATATCAACATCTTCTCATATGTTATTTTCTTAGCTTTCCTCTTCCTTTGTATCTGTAATTCTGAATATGCTCTTCTCTTTCATTTGCCTTTCTTTTTTGTCTATTCCCTTTGTAGTAGCGTTAATTTCTTACGATTTCTTTTGCCTTTCTTCTCTTTCTTCTTCCTCTTCATTTTACTTATTTCTTATTTTCTTTCCTTTTTCTTTATAAGAATCCTTTTTACCTTGTACGGAAAATTTTCAAAAAATGGAAACGAAGTGATGTTTCATAAATTGCAATTTTAAATAAAATCGTTTATTACCATCATTGTTAACTACCTGATGAGACGTCGTTTATTAAATGTCGAAACAAAATGTACAATTTAACAGTAGTAACATTCATGTTCTAATGAAAGAGTGTGTAATATACATATACATATATAAATATATATAACACCCGTCCTATTGGGCGACAATTAAGATATCTCTGCAGAAAGGTATTGATTGAGCATTCGGCATGTTCAGGGATTTGAGAGTCCCTAAGTCTTTGCATATTCACATTATTAGAAGCTCTCTTGGCTGCTGTTTGATCTGGGTTTCTAGTTGTACGGGACTTTCTTTTCCTGGCAGCAAACTTGGCACTTTTGATTTCAATCTGGTCCTCTGTTGGCGGAGATGTCTTTTTGCAAGTCATATTGCTACCGTATTCAATAAAATACAGTAGAACTCAAAATTGATTACTGCATTTCAGTATGGAATTAATATTTAAGTTTACATTTTAAAAGTTCAAAGATAATTCTTCTGCTGTCACTTAATTTTAAAAAAAGGATATACGGAGGTACTTACTTACCGTACAATTAAATATTTTTATTTCATGAGTGACTTTCGGTAGGTTTCGTAATTAATCAATTATTCCCAAATTTATTTCCAAGTTATAAAAATTGTTATCGTGCA